GACGTTAATCCAACATTAATTATATAGTCATTTGATGTTCTCCGAAATGTTTTAGAGCATAAAATTTGTGCTCTCACCTTTGATTGTATGTGTGAATGAGACAGCAACGGCTGCAAACGAGACGTTGCTGGTGACGTGGCCAAGTGCATGGCACACTGCCACTGGGATAAGCAGCTTCAGGAGGTTTGCATCAATTGGCTACATGGAGAGAAACACCAGTCACATACACTAAATGAAGAGTTACCAGAATACGAAACAGAGATTTGCATATGTGAGTTAGGCCAGTTTGCCTATCCTAACTCCCGAGTTTTTTTTTTTTTTTCCAATGTTGTAACTCTCAAGTTCGAATCCTCCTTTATTTATTCGAACAATAATTTACACAACATTTAAGTGGTTCACTTACAGCACGTTTGGGAAGCCCCACAGCCCAGCTGATCAAACAGTACACAACTCCGACAGCCAAGTGGACGACGGACACAAAACTGCACCCACACAGAACAAAAAACTCACTTCTTTAGAAGAAGCCGGAACTAAAATAACTAGAACAGGCCTGAGATATGGACATATACCGATATGTTATTGTGACAGTATTTTAAGTCAACTATCCGCTATAAAACAATTAGCTTCTTCATATAATAGTGTATGATTTAAAATATAGCACGATGACATCTTGTTATACGAAATCATACAATCTAACTTCCTCACATAATAATGTACGATTTAAAATATAGCATAACAATATCTTGTTAAACGAAATTATACATTTAGTTTCCTTGCATAATAGTGTACAATTTAAAATTTAAAATATAACACAGTAACATCTTGTTGCATGAAAAAAATTGAAAATGGCACACTTACTATGGATAGGGAAAGTAATTATAGATCTTCTTGTTCATGATGTTGAAAATTACGTTCAGAAAATACCTGCAAACCAAGGACAAATCCGTAATTCCCGACACAATGATTACTCAAAAATAAATCCAAATTAATTTTAAACTGTTTCAACAGTTTATGATAAGCCGTTAAATTGTAGACGACGCGCGGGAGTCCGTACCACATGAAGAAGAAGAAGCCGGTGAGGATAAAAGGGTACTTGTTGAAGAACCCGATCGGCGCCACCTTCCCGTCCCTGTAACACCACCGTGTCAGAAAGAACCGGCAAAGCACACAAAAAAACTCATTAGTTCGGAGGCTGACGCGGGCGAGTCAGACCGTGATAGAACGGAGGAGACGGACCTCACCCGGCGGAATCTCCTTCAGCCGGCGACGAGGCCGCGGTTTGGCACGGCCGGAGAATCTCCCTCTTCATCGGCGACGCCTCTAGCAGCAGCGCCGGGCGGAGCTGCCTCCCCCATATGAGGTTCCCGCCCTCGCTCACGGCCCCGATTGGCCGGGCCGAGACGAACGAGACGGCGCCGTTCTCTCTGTGGAATGGCTTGCGCTGGTAGGGCAGTGGTGCGAATGCGGTGGCGCGTGAGAACACCCGCGACTGCATGATTGATGTGGAGAGCGAGAGAGAGAGAGAGAGAGAGAGAGAGCGCTTAGAGACAGAGAGAGTGGGGAATGTGGATTGGGAAGATGCAGTGAACTCTTATTAGTTGTTCTGAGCAGACGAGTGACAGATGGAAACGAACCAGTTGGAGGGAGAAGGAGGGCGGTTTATTTCTTTTGTTTCTGTTCGCGTGGTTCTGCTCTTCTACAACGCGAACATGTTAGGCAAGTACATCCGCCGCTACGATTGGGTAAAGGTTGGTTTGAAATTTGCTTACGCACAACTTTTGTTGGCAAGCGCTTATAATAGGATCAGGATCCTCGCCGGATTCCTTCTGTGAAGATCTTAGGGATCAAGTAATTATGTTCGTTCATTATATATCGTGTGGTCAGAAATCATTTAAAATTTAAGATTTAAAATTCAATATAAATAGTATCTAACGAAAAATGACCGCACGATATATAATAAACGGACATGATTACTTGATCCCGAGATCCCTACAAAACGGATCCAGCGAGGATCTTGATTAAGTAATAGAAGTGCTTTAATTACCAAAAAAATGTTGAAATTCATATTAAAAAACTTGTGCATCCTCGAAGCATTTAGTACATGTTTTTTATTTGATGTTTGATTCACAGGATTTTACGTTTGTAATTGAAACTGTTTATATTATAAATCATCTTGTAAAAATTATCTCTACGAAAAATAAAATTAAGATCATTTAATATAAGTCTGAAGTCTCATGAATCGGCCGAGGAGGAAATCATCGTCAACTTTTAAGGAGCCAAGTTAATAACATAAGATGGGGAAGGAGCATGGGAGGTTACGGTGGGGGTGGTGGATAGGGAATGAGGGAGACTCATGGGGATGTGAAATGGGAGAGGTGGGGGCCCGGCTTATCCCCAGCGTAAGGCGTACGAGCGACGACAATGCGAGTTGATTTGGATCGCCTTATCGTTTCTGTTTGCTTAATTCCCTTTCCTGTGTGGAACTGTTAATTAATTCCCTTTCCTCTCAACTGTTTCTCACGGGAATCAAATTCTTGCAAAAAAAAAAATGCAAAAAAAAAAAAAAAAAAAACCATATAAAGCTTTGATGATTTTTGTGTAAGAAATTTCAACAAGCCTTGGTAACATAAAAAATATCTTATCGACCAAGAGCGACACGTAGTAACATTCATTCTCACAATTTATTCACAAACTTGATTTCTTTTAAGATACATATTTTAGATCCAGGTTAAAAAATAAGAGTAAGTTCAGTTAACTAATTATATGTTTTTATTTCTTTTATACTATCTTATATTTTTTTTAAATATTAAAAACCATTTAATATTTTCCAATATTATGCATTTTTCAACTCTAAAAAATCTACTAACATAAAATCTATTTGCAAAACATTTTACCCTAAGTCAAGTAACAAATATGTGAATGTATGTTATACCCATACGTGAGATATGAAACCTAACTAAAAGGTAGAAAAAAAACATAATATACCTACCAGCAAGGCACATTAATATGTGACAGGTTGATTATAAAAAAATATATATGTCATATAGATAAATAAATACAATTAACCTGTGACACAGATTGATTATAAAAATTAAAAATAAAATTTATAAATAGGGTTTAAAGCAGGAGGAAGAACAAGAAATAACAAAAAATAAAATAAAAAGAAATAATTAGGAAGAAATTTGATTTTTATAATAAATCTTATCATTGAAGAGATAATTATTGATAATTAAATTAATAAATTTAAGGAATTGGACTGATTTTAACAAAATGGACAATTCCTGCTATTGACTAAAAAAACTGGACTTATATCAAGTTTCCCCATAACAATGAATTTTATCTCCTCATTGCTTCACGTGAAGTCGATGGCAACTCGTATTGGCATCGCAAAGGCGTTTTCAAAATTTATCCTTGAGAGTGATTCACGCTAGATTGTAGCGGCTCTTCTCGATTCTTCCAATGATTTGTTTGACATTGGACTTTTAATTGAAGATTCGCGGGTGATTTTGCCATCAATCACTGGAGCTTATGCTATCCATGTTCGTTGCCAAGCCCTCATCGTCTAGCATGGTTTGCCCTTACTTCAAATTCCTCATGTAACTGGTTTAAGGAACCTCCGGACCTTATCTCAAATTTACTTTTTGAAGAAGCTGTTTCGTAATCGACGGAATACTCTATAATTCGGGTCTTCTTGTTTGCAATGGAAAAAATCTATCGAGTATCATTCAAAAAAAAATATATAGCTTCGATTTTAGGGCTCTAAACTTACGTGATGGACAAATCTGATATTGTAAATCAAAAGTCTAAGCTCGAAGTGACAATTTCAATATATGACAATCACTCTTTTCAATGCAGGAGATTGAAATTGACAAAATTTGAGTAACAATTAAGTTTTCGCAATACATTCAGACGTCCTACACAAAATAAGCTTGTATAAAACACGTAAAGTAGAACAACTAATTAGTTTGACAATTGATAGGCGAGAAACTCTCCATAGTCAAGTAATTTCTCGTTTACAAAAATCATCTATGTATATACAGAAATTGTATTAGCCTAAAAACATTCAAAGTTAATGAAGATAAAACTAAAAATGCTGGAATTTTTTGGTATTTTTGGATGCATAGATCAAAGATTTTGAGGCCATCGACATTACCTTTCAACCATTGGGCCCAATTCAACAACTTCAATTAGATCCAAATTCATAACTTGCAATCGAGTCTCCGCACTGCCGCCGTCAAATGCCTCCGCTATATATCACGACCTTTGGCCTCATGATCTCTCAGTTAGTCTCCGCGAACCAGATGAGGTCCGCGGAGGCGCTACTTGATAGGATGAAGGAGGAGAAGTGTAGTGTTACTGAAGATATTCCTCCCTGTTTGCGGAGGCTATGGCTGCGTTCACAGGCCGCTGGATCCTGGACGCTGTAGGGTGTTCCACAAGATGGACGACTTTCAGTGCAAACGAACCCAAAAATCTTACATAACCATACTTGGGATTCTTGTTGAAGAATTTGGATAAAAACCATGGGATTGTTTGAAGACATGACAAGCAAAGGTGTTGCTCCAAATGTGTATACTTACAGCACATTGATGGTTGGGCTCTGCAAGTAATAGGAAGCCTGTCTATAAATCTAACAACGCCAGGAACTGAAAGCAGAATAACAATTATAGACAGGCTTCTATTATTTGCATACATGACTCACGCAATACTGGAAGATGTATTCGCATATATCATGCGGCTAGAAATAATTTTTTTATTTAAAATTAAATATAAAAGTATCTGACAAAAACCGACCATACAATGTACGATGAACGGATATGATTAGAGAATCCCAACAAAGAGGATCCGGAGAGGGTCCTCATTCGCACTCTTGGCTTCTATGAGAAATAATTATCTCAACCGTTTCTTAGTCGGTACCTCAAACGATATTTGTAGTTATTTGATCAAGAGTTGTTATGTTTAAAAGTTCTCTTTCAATGTGCCATGGATTTGAACTGGGATTTGCAAACAAAGAGAATAGTCATATAGTCATATAACCGGCATTTACGGAACTTGGAGGAAGCCGGAATGGAAGAAAGAATAAATAAGGTTGCATGTGCACGGTTTGGCAATTTTAAGTAGCACGCAGGCAAATATGAATTAATCAAGCAAAAGAGGTGTTGCTAACTTGCAGACAGCGGGAAGCCAATTCCATGGCGCTTGGTTGGAAACACAACAAACAACATACTGCAAATGACACCAATGCCAACTGGCAATGCTGTGAGTACCTCCTGAGCCTCATCTGACGGCGTTGGATAGAAGCAATTCACCACGTTCTGATCGAAAAGTGCAACAGCTGCGAATACAAGTATTGACATGAAGGCATGGAGGAAATCTATAAACTGCAGCCGGAAATTTGCAGCGACTTCAGGTGATATGTTGGCTGATCCATCAATGATCCATAAGCCTTTGAATGTAGCGAGCCCATAGCAGACATTTCCATTCTTGTCCCTAACGCTGTCAGTGAAACTCAGTAGAAAACTTGAAGCCCCACAGAGGGCTACAAGGCCAGCAGTCATGGACCGGCTGACTGAGTCACAGTTGCCCAGGTTTGTAAATATGGGTGCCAGAAGCTGAAATGCAAGCACTGTTCCCGTTGGCAAAAGATTGGCCAAATGAGCTGTGCTCTGAAAAGTCTGGCGAATGGCTTTCTGTATCAGCGTTCTTTCCTCTTCTGTCACCGACTTTGTTGCATCTTGCAAGAGGGGGAGTTTCTGCTCACCATCATGCAGGTGCCGGGATTCCTCAGCTTCTACCTTGATCTCCATCGACCAGAATCGTTTGATACGTCTCTTATCCCTTAATGCTTTGGTCTCTTTTTCTCGTATTATTTTAGCATTTTTCTTGTGAGGAACAATGTTGCATAAATAGGAATAGGAATGAAACTTGAGTGGAGGTAAAGGGAGGGAAAGAGTAGTTAGTCATGCCTTGCAAGGAAGAGAAACCTAAAACTGGAACCGAATTATAGATAGGAGAGTTTGGTTTCGTGTTCGGTTTTTCGCTAACTGTCTGTCCATGGCTCTTTGATGACCCGTTATCGATCATGGTCTTTCAGAGTAGCAGTCACAGAGGGAGGGAGCTTTTTTGTTGCTGAAACGCAATGCGCATTGCTTAAGGGGCAAGCTTCACAAGAGGTATTGTTTACATTTGTATCAGTAGTATTTCTAAATTTAGAAGTGGGGACCCACTATTATTTGTTATTTGCTTTTGTGGTTTTGCTTGGAGACATGAAAGACTGGTGAGGATGAGAGGGGGCGGTTAGGCTTCACTTTGAAGGAATTTGTTGTTAGATCATACATGGTGTCATATACTCATACCTTGCACGTTATTACTTTGTAAACAGGCGTGAAAATTGTCTTGGAACTAATTCGCTACCCAAAACAGCCCATATTTGCATTTACGGACTTGCTAGAGTTTGGATTGGAAGCGATCGTGGCACTCTCCATCTCTCTCTCTCTCTCTCTGCACTTCTCCATCTCTCTCTCTCTGCACTTCTCCCTTCTCAAAGGAGAACCAAGAGAAGAAGTGCAAAAGGAGAAACTAGGGGTTTGAAAATCACTTCCTTTGCATCAACTCGTTTCGTGATCAAAGTTTTATAAAATCTTTGTCTATTCAGACATACGAAGCGCATGCATCAAAGGAGAAAAGTAGTAATTTTTTCTCTCGAAGGAAATACGGTATCTCTTGACATGCTAACTGGATTTATAGGAATTTCAAAATATATATAGGGGTGGATTCATGACACCACTTTTTTACATAATTTTTTTACACACATTTTTGTGGAGCCCACTTTGTAATGCATTTTAACGATTCGAACCGTCTGTCTTTTATAACATTATTCATAGGTCATCCTTGCAAAAAATAGACAAGGACGTTCATTTGTAGTGAAAAAAAAAAGAAGAAGAGAAATACGGTTATACAAAGACACCATAAAACTTAATCCAACGGTCATATGGTTTTAGACTTGGTGATTTTTTATAGACACAATCTTGAAGAAAAGACCTAAAAGATAGACGGATCAAATTGTTAAAAGACATTATGAAATGAACGCTACAAAAACATGTGTAAAATTATGTAAAAAAGTGATGTTATGAATTCGTCTCTATATGTATTGTGATCGCTTCGCTTGTAATAAAATATTTGGTAAAAAGTTATCCAATGTGGTAAAAGTGATGGTTAATAAATAACTTTCTTCACTTCATGTTGAGTGAGAACTTGTTATGGAAATGGTTGGGAGAGGTGTCCTGCATGACTAGGACTAGGACCTTAAAGCCCGCCCATTACAAATATGGTCTCGCCATCACACACACAAACTAACAACCGAGGTGCTCATGCTGGGCTCAAGATACCAATTTGGGCCTCCAATTCGGAATTCAGTCATGTTCTTAAAGCCTTTTTTTGGTTTTGTTTTACTTCATTTATAACCAAGTTGAAGTCGCGGAAAAAAAAAATTGTTGGGGGTTTACGTTTACCTCCTCTGTCCTCGAATATGAAAATTATTCGTAAGGAGGACTTTATGGCATGAGTAAATCGTTATCATGATGTTTCGTGTCAATAAACAAACACATATAAGATTTTGTTCACGTGAAGTTATGTCATTAATACAGTACGTTACTGTAATAGTATACTCGTGTCATTTAAATTGTTCTCTTTTGTAAAAGCTTTCTTATGAATAACGTGGTCCGAATTCCCGTTTAACAAATTTTTCATTCACTTCTCCCAAATTATTGCATTTGACTCAAAATTCCTAACTACTCTCACTTATATCACTTCACACCGTAGTTGTGACTTGTGAGGAAGATAGATGCCAGTTAGGCCAAGTGTCGTGATCGGCATATTAACGGGGGAGAGAGACGTGATGTTGAAAGAGTTTGACAAAAGTGTGCGCCCTCCTCTCCTCCTTTGCATGGCAATTAGCAATTGGCAATTTGGCATGAACATAGCCGTTACAGACAAGAAAGATTCTGCCTGCCCCTCACTAACTCTATGATTTTAGCAATCTACGTTTGGCAGCTGCATGCACTAAACCCTTTTAGCCTCCTTCTAGCTAGTAGGTAGCTTGTGACTTCGTAGCTTCTCAGCCTGCTTTTTGGGATGTCATCCGTTACAAACTTATCCACAACGTACATTTTGGCCACCCATTTTGACTAGTGTTTTTCATACATTTGTTTTTACTTCACAGTCGGCACATCTCTTTTAATTTTTATCTATTAATTTTTTTTAATTCATTCGTCTGATAATTGAAAATTGAGAAATATATGTGAGAAATAAAAATAGATGTGTGGATAGTAACACCCTACATTTTAGCGATTTTTTTCTTCGTTACAAGGTCTTCAGTTCAAAGTCGCATGGATTACTAGTTCGGTATCAAATACACCTTAAAATAGAAATATTGATGTATTAAACAAATGTGTACTTCTACTAAAATATCTTAAAGGTGAATCTCACCTTAAAAATATATATTTCAATTGTATATACGAGTTAAATCAATTGATTAGTTAGGTTAACGTATATATGTCTTTTCACCTGAGTTTGAATCCACAAATCACTCCTTTCTTCTTTCTTGGAAGAATCTTTGACCTTTTAGATTGCAGATTCTGGTCTGAATCTGTTTACCAGCTACAACTGTGAAGCTCCTTTAATTCCATAAACAACAATTTCTAATTTCTAACTGTAATTTCCAGAACAATACTAGCATCTAGGGCAGGTTCCAATATTCTCCAATTTTTTGAATAACCTAGCTGTTGGCCTTTTTTTATTTTTATGGAATTCATGATGGCCACCAACCCCAACTTCCTACTCCTGAAATGATATCAAGATTGTGAAATAATGACCCCATCAAAACTGGACCCATATATTATAATTTTGTTTCTTTAGGACATGATCAACAATGTATGGAAGAAAATGTAACATTTTAAAGTTGACCCCATTTTTTGTTAAACATACCCTACAAATGCAGAAGCAAATGATCATCTGGAGATAAAGAGATACCTGGTGTGTGTTCTGAATGATGTTTCTGGGTGTGATGATGAATTCTCAACTTTTACTTAACAAATCATGGGTAGCCATGGCCAATGGCACAAACTAGCATGTAGAGACATATGATCATGGGATGGGAAGGAAAGATTTTACCTTTCCCTTCCTTTTTACTAATTTTGATAGCTTCAAACTTTTGCTGGGTTGCTTGTTTCACGCTTCCAGTTTTCAGTACCCATTGACTTTGTTTCTGCTTTTTCCCTAATTTCAATGATGGTATGTTTCCAAGGGTGAGTCTTGGTTCAACGAAAAGTCTTGGTTCAACGGAAATGTTGCTTCTTTGTGAGCAAAAGATCATGGTTTCGAGTCGTGAAAACGATACCTTTGCAAAATAAGGATAGGGCTGTGAATGATAGACGTTCCCTCCTCCAACCCTCGCTAAGCGGAGTGTCTTGTTAGCTTGAGGTCGTCTAATGATAATGTGTTCCCATGCATATGCAATATATAACAAAACTATGAAATCAATTTATTATTTTTAACTTCTCAACAATTCAAGACATTTTATTTTACACAAGCAAAAATTAGATGAAAATCGAACACAAAACCTCATATACAAAGGTGACTGTTCTTGAGTAATTGAACTCTACACACAGCTTGACTATTAAGACTATGTTTTACTTCTAAAATTAATAATTTAAATTCAAATTTTCAGTACAAGTCTTGTTCGTCTTAAATTCAAATTAACTACAAGTAACTAGAAACAACAGCTTTGACTCCTTTCCAATATTTGTGAGAAATCAAATTTTATAAGTTGGCTTGGAAGAAAGAAATGAAAAATACTGCAGTTGGTAAATAAATTATTCATACGTATAAACTTGATAAATCCGAGTAAAATTGAATATGATTCAAGTTCATGGGTTCTGCAAAAATAAGACAAAATGTCATATCTGTTCCTAGATTAGTCCATATAATCCACCTCTTATTAGATTTAAGTATTAAATTTAGCAGATTAAGTATTAATTAGGCTTGTTGCTTACTGGAATGGCCATGCCTTGAAATTTCATTTTCTTCCAATTTTCATATAACATGCGTTCGCGTCAGCTTCTGTCTTGCATGATTTCATATCGCAAAGTCCAATGGGTAGTCATGCATCAATCACTTTTCCCACGTCAAGTCTCTCTCTCCCTATCTCTCCCCACTCTTTCTCCTTTGTTTTTCTTCGACTTCAAGAATCTCTCGTCTCTTGGGTCGTCCTCCATTTGACTCTCCAATGGCTGTAATGAAAACCAGGTTCTGAGGAAGAGTAACAACAAAGATAAAAAGACTCATGACTCCATTGACTTGGTCACTAAATTAAGGCTGCACCATATCCCCCACTACCAATCTGGATTCTCGCCGGATTTTTTTATGAGGATTTCGAAATTTGAAAAGCATTATTCGTTTATCATATATTGTGTAATAAAAAATTATTTTAAATATTTTTATTAAAAATTAAATATAAATAATACTTGATAAAAACTGATCACAATTTATAGATTTCTATAATTCTCACCAAAAAAATCTGCAGTGGATCCTGTTGGCCCCGCTACTACCACTAGTCACTAGTCTTGGGTTTTAAAGCGTCAGCAGTGCTATCCACCTTTTTTTTTACATCCTACATATTTTCAATTAATTTCTGTTAGTTGAATTTTTCTCAATTAATTTAATTTGATAGTAAAAAATTAAAAAAGTGTGAAATATGAAAAAAAGTGCGTAAATAGTACTATTGTTAATGCATGATTCATTGTTTCTACAACATATTCAAATAATTTTTCACATCATCTTGGTGTGGGTGCGAAATTAGAAGTCCTTCCTTTAAAACTATATGACATAAATTTGGGTTAATTAAATTAGTTAGAGCAATTTTTTTT